CAGACAGGGTCGTCCCAATATGCGTTTTTGCAATTTGCATATAGGCAAAAACGCATAAAAACTCATTAAGACGAGAACGTGCCCCCTAAGAGCATACCTCTCTATGTGTCCAACCGCACATTTCATTTCTGGCAGTAGTAGGAAGCTAATCAATGTTTTTTTATCTTAGAAAAGGTTGAAAACTTGAAGTTAGCAATAGGATGAATTTATATCCTGAGGATCTAAATTTTTTTAATTTTTTTTTCACTACAATACTGGTAAAAGCAACAGATTTGGTATTTTTGTGAGCATCTTCAAAGGCAAAAATCTAAAGTCATTTCACATTTTTTTGAGTTTTGATTTATGATTTCGAATAATTATACAATTATACAACTTGAGAAGCAAATCACAGATTGCCTTCACTGCGTAGCGTGTTTTAAAACTGAGCTCCAATCTTTTTTCCTATCTGAATTTGTGCTTGGTATTTTTGTAATTTCTTGCCCCGATTTAAAATGCAGTTTCAAAAAGCAGCGAGGTGTACCTCAATACTTCTCAGAATAATGTTATTAATTGTTATATTTTACATTTGAACCATTTACCATTAATAATTTTTCATTGGCTACGACTTTTTTTTCGAAATATTTATCCAAAATATTCCAAATTCCACTTTTAGAATCCCTCATAAATCTCAGCAACTTTTGGAAGATGTGGCGTGCTAATTCGATTAAAGCATTCGCTGGCCTATCGAAACATTTAGCTTTGGCTTTTTTAACTGCCTTTTTTAGATTAAAACAGCGCTGGAACCAAAAATACGCTATATGTTTGAGCATTTTCTGGGATAAACACTGCTTGGAGCAATGTTACTGCCGCTGCTAGCTGCTGGATTCTTCACAAGCCAGTTCGCCTACGTCGAAATGGTAACAGCGAAATTTTTTGTTAATTCGGCTAAATTCGCTGTACAATTTGAGAATCATAGAAGGGCACAACAACTTGTCCGAGAAAAGTGACTAGTTTCAGAAAAATTCGACCTAATTTCCTCACCTGAGTCAAGACACGTTCGACTTGTGCGAAAACAGAAATTCAATTATAATTTCACACCATTCGCGATGTGCTCGTTGCTTAATAACTCGGGCCCGCTGCTGGAGTATCTATTCATAAGCCTTTTCATATCGAACTTTGCTCAATGCTACTGTGCAAAGAGTGTTGCTCAGGCGAAAGCGCTCCGTGGTGCTCTGATGATGAAAGGTGCCTCCCAAAGCTATGCATTGTCGGACGGCGATTTGGTTGATGAGATGGAGCTGGAGGAAAACGAACTCGTGAAGCAATTTGCATTACTGCCAGAATTTGGAAGAATATCGAAAGAGAGCATCTTCGAGCAAGGGTACCTCGCACAATTGTTCTCACTTTTTCTACCAAAGATTTTTTATTTTTAATGCGTAATTCATGCACAACGAGTCTGAAATGCAACACAAAGAACAAATGCTGATGTTTTAGGGAAACTAGAGATTTCCTGCAATTTTTGCGCAACATCCAGTACGATCACCGGCAACTACCTGAAAACGATAATGGAGGTAAAGAATATTTTCTTACAGTATCCAAAAAAACTATGCATTTAAATAATTACCCCACGAATATGAATCTATAGCAATTCTACTAAAATTCAGAATTCAACTTTCCCATGTCTAACTAGAGCCGTGTCATAACACATTTTTCTAGCAGTGCTTGACTTGGGTAATAGCTTCGGCAAAATCGTGATTGAGACAATTTTGACGAAACAGCTTAGTCTGTATCTTAGTAGAGAGAATATTAAGCATTGTCAATCTTGTCGTCGAAGTCCCGCGAAAAGTCGGTAATTGTTAAACAAAACTGTGTTGCACAGGATGATGCAGCCAGAAGATACAGAATATGTATAGGAGTGCCATACACACAGAATATAAAAGCTTCAGTATGTGGCGGAGCACGAGGGTCGGTAGCACGTTGCGCCTTTCCTGTTCCATAACTATTTTCGAAAAGGAGCTCTGTTTGCGAGAAGTCTAATAACTGTGAGGTGTTAGACAGTGGTCTATAGGTGATTGCTAAAGACAAGCAGGCCTAGGCTGTATTCATGACAGCATGTGAGATTCCACCTGGAAATAACTCAAATTTTAATAAATTTTAATGTCGGAATCGCATTTTTCAGAAGCCGTTGATATCCATATTTCGATCGTCATCAGCAACATCCGTGCTGTCTCTGAAGTGAACATGGTATGTCAAAATCAATTACCACCTAGAAATAGTACTTTTAAATCATGCAGTCTGAAGGCTTAGTCTCCAAGTAGAAAGATTTTTATGGAGACATTTTTAGTGATAATTTGATGGCGAGTACTGTTGATTAAAGATTATCAGCAGTATGAAAAGTGCATGTAGTGGGTTAGTGAATCGTATCCTCGAGAAAGTAAGCGATCACTCAGGCAGCAGTTGAAAAGAACACCGAACAGGCGATGTGCTTTTAGGAGCATCCTAGTAACATGGAATACCCACACAGATTGTCCAGGAGGTCTTGGTATAAGAAACGTAAAATATAACAGCAGGTCAAGGTAATACAGAGTACAACACCAATTCTTTTATGAATTTTTCTGCTGCGCATCTAGAATAATCCGCAAAAAAGTATAACCCTTAATATACTTGTCACTCCTTTTGTTATTAAATTGTAACAGTTGTATATAACTTTTTTACTTTGCCTCAAAATGTTTTGGTTTGTGTGATTGAATTATGCTTTACTTACGCGCTCATAACTGTAATGAATTTATAGGACTACAGCTTGGAGCTATTTTATCGAGAATCTTGGTTCGATAAACGACTGGCATATGATAGGGGAGATTTCCAAAACAAATCCGAGCTAGCGCTGCATGAAAGCTATACAAATTTTCTTTGGCATCCAGACACTTTTATGCCAAACGCTATCGCATCCAAGAATCCACAGAAACAATCAATCACACACCGATCATTGCTTAGGTACGCGATTTTTCACTTTTCTTCCCTCTTTTACCTCGTAATGAAGCAGAAAAACCACGCGTTTTTGCAACTTGCATATATGCAAAAACGCTTAAAAAATGATGTTGCGTTATATATAATAAATGTTAATAATAAATGAAGCAATAGATGATGCTCAAAAAAAAAAATAGCAAAAGTGGCTTTTTTCATTATTATTGTTTAACAATTTAAACCCGGACTGGAACTTGGAGTGTGGAAATATTCCAGCAACCTCACTTAACAATGGACATTCACACTGGTTCGCTGGGTAATTTTGACATTCCGAGTTAAAGTGAATGTGTCTCACTGTACATTTCTCAAAAGCAAATTATTAAGATGCCTTTTATGCCAGATGTGTGCATAACTTAGTGGGAAGAAATACCCCTGTTCAGCGAACTCTCTCTAATAGCTGCATGAAAAAACAAGGGTTCTGCAAGTAAGACCGTTCAAGTATGTCAAGAGACTGGCCAGATTGCTGGCTCTGAGAGTACTCGTTGACGAGAGAGTGTTCTTTGCATTCCTGGGCTACCTTTACTTGATCATCCCCCCTCATTGTCGCATTCATAACAAAGGTATGTGGTAGCTGACATCCAGTGCAGCCAAAACCTGATGCCAAGACGGAGCACGTCTAGCGCCTTGTAACTGCATTGGGCAAAAGTTCTGCACTGCAAATCCGTGTGGCAATCCCACAACCGGGTTTCAGCTGTGGACTAATTGCTGGTGTTGGGTATTTGGGTTTGCCGGTTTGTCGATGAGGATGAGTTGGTTGGCGAAGAGTCGGGATGGGGGGAGGGTTTGGGAGTGGGCTAGTTGGGGGCTGTGAGGGAGGGGGTTGGGAAGAGTGGTTGGGA